TGCAGCGGTGACTCATCACAAGCGAGACGCACAAAGGAACACGCTGCTGCCACCACCACCACATTCACTCCTCCAAGTGTGATCTGGCAGGGCTGCCGCCACCCTGGCCTGCCCCCCATCCGAAAATGAAAGAGCGAGGAAGGGGCGTCGGGGGACAGGACCCTTCAGGCTCCCTTCTGGTCAGCCATGGCTCCCCTAACAGCCCGTCAGCTCCCTTCCAGTCCTTCCCTCTCTGGCCAGCAACACGCCATTGTGTGAGCTGCCTTGAGGAAACCACAAGTCCTTGGGCAGCGCAAGCCCAAGAGAGGGAAGGGCTGGGAATGGAGCTCACCTCCTTCTGTCACTGGCCTCCGCTCCGCATGCCAGAATCTTCCCGTTTCTGCTAGGCCTTTTCTCTTGTGTAGAAACTCTTCATATGAATTCCATGGAGACCATCAGGAAAACGGAAAAGATAAAACAGGAATAACTGCTACTTGTATGCTGAAGGCAGACCCTGGAGAGATGTTTTCCCTAGAATCTGAGGCATTTGGGCCCTGGGGCGGGGGGGGGGGGGGGGGGCGGCGGGGCCGCCCTCCCCCGGGGGGCGGGCGGGGGGGGGGGGTGAGAATGGGAGGGGGGACATTGAACTCTCAGAAGTCTTGGTCCCAAAATGTTCCAAACTGCCAGGATGGAAAAAGCTAATCCAGATAAATAGAGCAGTGGAGGACGGAGCTTAAGCCCATGAGGTCTCCTTGGGGCTGGGTTTCTTTTTAATATCTGCATATTGAGTGCAACTATTTGGATCCTCGTGGAGGGCAGCGACTCGAGAAGTGGACCAATCTCTCCTATTCTTCGGCTTTACACTATGACAAGTGGCTGCACAAATAATGTGTGCTAGTGCAAGCCAGATTAACGCTATCAACAGCCTGCACGTGGGAGGGCTCAGAGAGCTGCCATTGGAATATGCCAACCTCTCCTTTTTAGCAGGAGAAAATGAAAAAGGGAGATTTTAGAGCCGAGAGGCCAGGTATCTTCCCTCCAAACCCTTAAAGGCATGGAAACACGAGGTCAGACTCCCCATCCAAGAATGGCAGGACATCCAGTGTAATATTAGTTTAAAAGCATTTTGGAGGGAGCTATAAAATTACAGGCCAATTCCACATTAAGGAATTGAAAGCACTGTTAAAGCGAAGTGATATCTGTAGGGTTAATGCGATTCCACTGGTCTTCCAAACAGCCTGTCTCTCGGTCTCTCTCCTCCTCCTCCGCTGTCCCTGGGCCCTTCTTGTCCAGGTCCCAGGGCAAGCGGTCCTGCCCAGAAAGCAAAGGCACCACAGGGTGGGCCCTTTCCACTGAGGGAGCAAGAAAGGGGGAGACCCCCCACCCTCAGCAGCTTGGCTGAAATGAAGGTGGAGGGCTGGGAGCAAAAAGAGGCCAACTCTGGGAGGGGCTGGGGCCAGCGGGCATCGCCCAGGCAAGCGGCCCATCAAACCGGCCTCCAGCCACCGAGCAGGCCGATGCTCTGAGGCACGGAGGGGAAAGCGCCAGGCTCATCTGCAGGAGATGCGACGGAGAAGAAAGCCGAGAGCCCAGCAGCCTCTGGACCGGCTTTGGGAGCAGCCATGTTGGGAAAAGGGTGCGCATTGTGCACTGTGTGAGGAGATCCCCAGCCCCGCCCTGCAAAGATAGGCCTGAGAAGAGGCAGATGTTTTGGAACCCCCTTTCTGCCAGCCCTGAGCCTGCTTGAGTCCGGGGGGGGGCGAATGGTGCCTTCCGTTTTGTGACCTAATTCTTAGCGCAGAGTCTTCGACTTGCAGCCCTTCATTTAGTGACCGTCCTGAAAAAGTGGCTTATGACCGTTTTCCACACTGATGGCCGTTGCAGCGTCCCTGTGGCCCAATGGTCCAACTCCAGCCGCTTTTGCTCCTGGCTCGTAACGAGGATGGTTGCATCCTGTGCCAAGGCCAGGCGCTTCCCTTTGCCCCCCTCTGACAAGCAGAGTCCAGGGGGAGGCCAGATTCACTTAACAAGCATGCTACTAAGTGAATGATTCACTTAACAAGGGTGGCAAGAAAGTTCATACAAAAGGGGCAAAACTCATTATCCTGCCTTGCTTGGCAAAATAAATTTTGGGCTCCATTGTGGTCATACCTGCATTTTTCTCTTATTGCTCAAAAGCCGGAAAATCCCCCCGATTTAAAGGTGTTGGGAGCAGAACCTGGACTGCATCTTCACAAACCACCTGCCGCTCAGACTGCTTCCTCCCTGGGCACCACCCGTCCAGGAAGAGGGGACCCGCGTGTGCTCTGGGCAGGCGCAAAGGGTGGCAGAACTCATGTAGTGGTCAAGGAAAGGCAACGTTGAGGACCAAGACCAGCGTTCCTTCACGGGGCTGCAGTTCCCCAGGTGCAGCCGGCTATTGCACTGGGAAAGCAGCCAGGCAGCACTGACCACCCACGCCTTGGGCTCTGCTGGCCCAGAAAGGGTTAACCCATTGGCACTCTTGCTAAAGTGCGGTGCCAGCCACCAAACGGCCCTTATCCCAGGCCGGTTTCTATTGCATTATTTCCCTCTCTGCTCTGCCTCTCCCAGACATAAGCCTTTGGCCTTTCTTGTGCCAGGGGTGCCAAGTAACGGTTCCATGGAGCTGCCCCCCCACCCCCCATGACTAGCTGATGAGGGGTGCAGAATAAGCAGAGGGTGTCTTCCTGGGGAAACTCTGACCTCGTTAGGTGCGTAGAAGTCTGAGCCAAGGCAAACCAAGGGGGGGTGGGACACGTTCTCGGTTGCTGGTTGATGACCCCAGGAAATGCAGCATTGAGAGAGCCGAGCTGAGGGCACCAGCTATGCCCTCTGGTGCATTACGGCCAGCCGAGCTCCTCCTGGGGTACCTGGCCAGCTCTACATCAAGTACACAAACATCCGTCTGCAAGGGATGAGCAGCTCAAGCAGCTGCAATTGTAAGTGTCCCACTTGCGGGTAGGGAACAAATCTCTCCAGCATCTTTTCAGACTGAGGCACAACGCTACCGCCTGTCGAAATACAGAGAAAGTTCACAGCAAAACATCAATTCTAATGACCTTCTTTGCTCAACAAAATCTACAGAACTGGCTGCCCCAGGAAGAGCAAGTAGGCTGAAGATGAGAGAAAACCAACCGCTTTGGGCCAGAATAATGGGGCGGAGCCTTACAATCCAAGGGTGTCACGGTGAGGAAAGGTTGCTTTTCCCACATCCTGCTTCCAGTATGAGGGATCCAGGCATGTCACCTCCTGCAGCTTCAAAGCCCTCCAGGACTGGCGGCTGCTCTAGCACGGCAGGCTTCTGTTTTGATGTAAATCCTAGACTTCAGCGGCCTCCTCTCGAGGCACTTGGAGAGCTGCGGCCCACTGAACCCTCTGTGGGCCTTGGCCAAAAGGACACGGCCCACGGAGGTCTTTTCTGTGCATTTCAACACCTTTCTGGACTAGAGAAAGAAAGACTTGGTCTACTCCACTGAGCAATATCAACCTCTGACTCCAGATGATTTGGCCAGGAGGCCCAAGCTGTCTGGAGCCGCGAGCTGAAAGAGACCTGTAGTAATCCCCAAGTGATGAGCCTGAAAAGGCTACTAGGGAATTAAACCCAGAGCACCATGTTCCCCCTCCTCAGCTACTTGTCCCCCATTCCACTCCTTGGCTCTGCATTGCCTCTTGCCAAGTCAGCAAACGGGACCAGTGTCCTCCTGGGCCAGCAGCTCCTTCACTGCCTCAGCCGCTGCACCTGTTGCTCTGGAGTCCCCAGAGGAAGCCCCTCCCCTCAGAATAAAGCCCCTCCCCCTCCCCAGGCGCCCAGCCTGCAAAGAGCACCCCCCTATTCCCTCAGCTGGCTGCAATCACTCCAGTGGCTCCAGGTTGTACAAGTCATCAGCTGGGTGGATTTCGGAGAAGCCGCATCATCAGCTCATTTCTGTCAGGGCTCATCCTTGATTCCCCCCTTGTCTCCCCCAAGAATCCTTAAGGCATCTTCCTCCTCCACCTGTTACCTTGTCTCTGGCTTCCAGTATTTCCCAGCAGGACCGTTGTGGCCTTTAAGCCCTCAGGAAGATCTGCTGCAGAACCAGAGGGGTAGAGGGGGACGGGGAGGGTGCCCCCCTGGGTCTGGGCCAAGGGAAAGAGCCATGGGAATGCAAGAGGCACCGAGAGGTTCTGCATGGAGGCAGGGCTCTCTTTCCTCATTTAAAATGAACCATCCTCTAGAGAGGAAACAAGTTATTCCACAATGAGATCTAGCTACTCCAATAGCCCAAAGCTTTTGCCCTTTTTTTAAGCTATAGGAATGAAAGGGTGCTCCCTGTAATCTGGGCAGTCTTGCCCCACTCTTGGGACATCCCAGGGCTGGTTTCAATTAAGCCATTCAAGACCAACTTTGGAGGAAAGAGGGAAAAGGCTGGGAGGGCAACCCCTCTGCAGAACTGGCCTTCCGGGGACCTTCTTTGGAAGTGGGCGGGGCTTCTCTTCTGCCAGAGGGTTAGGGTAGATTAACCTGTGGATTAACCATGGTTTAACAAATAAACCACAACTGCTTGGTTTCATATAACAGGTTAAGCCACAAGAGCAGGTTTACAAACCACACAGCTGAGTTCAGCCATTCAAACCACGGGAGCCTCCACGCCACCTGCCTCTAAACCAGAAGCCGAAACGGGACAGAGAGCAAAGCAGCGGCCCGGATCCTTCCACACATCTCCTGGCCTAGTTGACCATCTGCTGCCACCAGGACCGAAGCCAAGGCAATGCCACCCGGTTGACGGGCCCAGCAAAACCGGCCTAGGCTTCAGCGGGGAGGACCACATAACAAGTAGGCGCAGTTGGGCGAGGCTGCTAAGTGTCCTCCTTCTGCCCCCTTTCCCCGCCCCACCCACGGAAAAGCCCCCTCCGTCTTGCCGGGCTACCGAGTCAGTCAGACGCCCAGCCTGAGGTCGGCAAGGCAGAAAGGCAGGCGCGCCCTCGGGAGAGTCAACCGCCCCCCCACCCCCCGTTCTTACCTTGGTCCGCATCTGGCCCGAGGTGGAGACTTTGCGGATGAGCCTGTGGGAGCCGCCCTCCTGCTCGCCTTCGCTGTCCGAGGACTCCTCGCCCGGGGCCAGCCGGTCCATCTCCAGCGAGACCAGCGACTCGCGGCCCTTGCGCAGGAACAGCTCCCCCGGGGGGGGCAGTTTCTCGGCCATCCTCCGCTCGGGGAGACGGCGCGCTCCGCTGAAGGAGAGGCAGGGGCGGGCGTGAGCCACGGGGCCCCCCGGAACCGCTTCCTCTTTTGCACCCCCCCCGCCCCCAGCCGCAAACGGAGAGAAACCCAGCTCAGCCTCCTCCCGAGGCCGGGGAGCGCGCCCTCTCCTCGCCCCCCCGGCCCCCGTCGCCACCCACCTCGTCGAATGCCGCGCCGGGGTGGGGGGGGGGCGGGGGGCTGCGCGGCCAGAAAGCCGCCGCCTCTCCCTGGGGAGACCGCGTGAGGCTCGGCTCCCGCGCAGCCCCTCCGGCGAACAGGTGGTCGGCCGGGCGGGGGCGGCGCTGGGGGCGGCAGCCCGGCCCCGCTCTCCCTTGGCGGCCCCGACTTCGCAGCGGGCGACCTACCGCGTAGCAACGGCGGGAGAAAAACCGCTGGCCCGAGGCGAGGCAGCGTCCCTGCCTGTCGTCTCCGCAGCGCCGCGGGGAGCGCGCGCCCGTCCGTGTCGCCCTTGTCACCAGGTGCGGCTCCCCGGAGCCTCGAGGCCGAGCGAGCCCTCCCGCCACGGCAGCCGCTCCGGCTCCGTCACCGCCGCGGCACGTGTCGCTTCCTCGCCTCTCCTCGACGCTTCGCGGTCGCCACAAGCTCTTGCTTCCTCCCGCCAGCCGACGCCGCAGTGCTCCCCGGTCCCGCCCGCCGCCGAGAAAACAACCCCTTTCCCCGCCCCTCTCCCTCCCGGAGCAGCCCAGGGCCTTTTTACCCGGAGGAATGGACCCCGAGACACTTCCTCCGCCCGGCCCCCAAATCAGGCGCTGCGACGCCGCAACAGCCCCGCTGGCAGCCGGCAACAGGGCCAAGGAGGCGACCCTTTTGTCCTCCCTAGGAAAAGGCCCGAAGATGCCTCCCTCCCGGGCGAATTGGAAGCGTTCTCGCTTCGCTTGCAAGAGCGGCGGCGGCTGGAGGGCCCCGTTGTGCTCTCGGCCTGCTTCTCAGCATACTAAGCCGGGCTTGGTCGAACCAAATGCGGTTGGCCGCGAGTCCACCATGCGCAACAGCCCGAATTCAAGCAGGCACCTCGCGGGAGGGGGCCCAAGAAGAGGTGGATTCAGGGCACAGAGCCCCCGCGGAGGTCGGGAGGAGGCGGGAACTCCGGGGCGGCCTTCAAGGGGCTGCCTGCGTTCCCACGGAAACACTACATCGTGTACTAAGCTCGCGCGCGGCCAGTGGATCAAAACCAGGAGGCGGGTTTGTGTTTCGGGTTGAAGACCTGAGTACCTTTCAGGCCGGCCCGACCTGGCTGGCCGCGCGCTGAGCTCCTGGTTGGGGGGGGGGGGCGCATAATGAGAATCCGGACCTCAGGCTTAGTTAGGTAAAGTTGGTTTGCTCAACCGGCAGGCAATAACAACACGGAAGACACAGGGAGTAACTGTGTTCTGTTGGGGCTGGGCAATTCTCGCCCCTCCCCTGCCCAGATGTTGAACCAGCCTTTGCTAAGAACTTTGCGCCACCCATAAAGAGCCCTGGATCCTCGGCACTCGAGGCTGCACCCGCTGCTTGGCGCTCGGGCCGAGGGCGACTCCTCGTCGCCGCCTTCTGGCCCAAGACCGGGAAGAACGAGGACGCCTCCGCTGGGCCTCCCTTTTCTTCCCGACGCCGCCTGCCAGGTGCCCTGGTTCTACCTTCCCTTCCTCATCTCGAGTCGCCTCCAGAGCAGCCTCGGTCAGACGGCCTGCATCCCCCATAAACTCCAGCCAATCGAGAAACGCCTGTTCCCCAGCTCTAGCAGGCTAGCGAGTGGGGCTGGGGGCATTGTGGGAAATGAGGATGGGCCCCTCTAGAAACCTATCCACGGGAGGGCAGCTGGGAACCCAGCCAAGGAAGACAGAAGGGGTCCCCAGAGAGGCGGACCACAGCCGAGGGGGACTTGAGGGGTTCTGCCTCTCGCTTGCAGAAAGGGCCTTGGGCAAATGACCCCCCAGGCGACCTCTGGCTTCCCCTCAGCTGCCTCTTGGCTTCGTGGGCCTAGCCAAATGCACCACAGGACGGAGGCGGAGCCATTCAATCCCTAAAGCCTGGCTTGCCCACCGCTCCCAGTTCAACATCTTGCTGGGGTGAACGGAGCAGGAGCTCCAGGAGGCTGTGCTGTGCCTGCCAGCCCCAGTTCCCTTGGGGAAAGGGCGGGTGGCCTGGGCAAAGCTTGGCTGGCCACTAAAGGGCAACCGCGGCCTATTCATCAACAGAGGGGACCTCGGATTCTGCAGCTCTGCCACCCAGCCTTGGAACTGCTGCCCTTAGGTGCCAGGCTCTGGCCCTTCTCTGCACAGAAGGAACGGCCTGCAAGGCATTCTTCACCCCTTCCGCCCCAAGGCACACAGCTGCTGGAGCCTGGCCCCACCGCCAGGGCTGCACGTGGACAGCTGCCCACATTTCCAGGGCTGTTGCCTGCCTCCAGGAGTCCTCCGAAGCCTCAAGAGAGAGCCCATCGTGCCAGGGACTCGATCCTGGAGCTCTAGCCAGTTGCCCAGCCGTCTGGGGAGCCTTCTGCCTCTGCCCAGAGAAAGCGAACCTTGGCGAATTGCCATCTACTTTCCCCTTATAGGAATAAAAATCTGCTCCCTTTCAGAGCAGGCGGGGGCCTCCCCTCGCCCTGAACAGAAGCCACACAGAGCCGGAACCCAGTTAGCACCAATTTATTACAACACGTGACTCTGCCTCCCCCACTTCCCATAATTGCACCCGTAGCCAAGGCACAAACTGCTGGAGGGGGTGGTGTCAGAGCCCCTTTGGAAACACCACTGAAGAGATCTCGCTGTGGAAACGTTGGACAGGAACCATAGATTCTTTGGTGTGTAGGAAGCACAAAATTACAGCCAGCAACTCATGCATTTAATCCCATAGCAACATGCCTCCAGAGTTGGCACTTGGGTTCCACCTGCGCCGAGGAGGGGCTGCTTGGGCACAGCAGCTGCTTAGAGCAAGCCAGGCAGGGAGAGGGGGCAGAAATGGCCAGGGAACAACCCTGTTCCTGCAAATAAGGACAGGGAGCTGCAGGTGGGAGGCATGGGAGAGGAGGAAGGGGAAGCTGGCAATCGCCAAGCTCCCAGGCTGCACAGAGCTCCTTCCCACTCCATACAGAGCCCTGTGTTGGACAGCCAGAAGCTGGGCCAGAGAGTCCCAGGCAACCTGACCTCTTTTCGATGCACATAAGTGTGCCACACTTTTACAGCCACCTCCCCACAAAAGGCTTGGAAATACTTGGGGGGAGGAGGGGGTCAGTTGGAGAAGAGACAGGGCGAATTTCCAAGGTTGGCCTGGGAAAAGCAGAGAGAGGCTGACCTGTGACTTTGGCCGCGGCCTCCCCACTCCAGCTTCCAAAATGGTGGACTTGCACCCACGCCCCACTCCCAGGGCCATTCCAGGACCAGCGGAGGCTAAAGTAGAAACGAAGTTGCTCGGTGGCGATTATGGGCTGTCGTATCCTTTTCCAGAAGACGCCAGCGGGCAGGCCCAGGTTTCCCAAAAGGATAGAGGCCGGCCCAGCTCTTCAAAGGAGGCATGGCGAGTCCCTCCACAGGAGCCCAAGGCAGGAAGCAGTCAGAGGCCAAGGACCGGCCTTCTGGAGCAGCCCTAGCCCTAGCCCTAGCTCTGGAGGGCGGCAGCGGCAGCAGCAGCAGCAGCAGCAGCCGCCGGTCGAGAAGCTGCTCTGGAAACACTGGTCTCCCTCTTGGGGGGTGAAAGGGGGGAAGCCGCCCACCTTCCTTGCTTGTGGGGAGCCCAGGGATGGGATTTCCACTCCTCCTCCTCCTCTTCTCAAGGCCCAGCAGGCCGAGGCAGCCCAGCCCAGGGCCTTCCTCCCCCTCTTCCTCCTCCAGGCAAGAATGTGTGAGTTCCAGGCAGCCCAGCCCTGAAGAGGTGAAGCCAGGCAGCGTGGCTTCCTGCACTGGGCCAAGGACAATGGAGAGGAAGAGGATGTGAGGGCCACAATAGCCCTGGCAGGATCCCAACACATTCCTCCCTGGCGGATACAGGAGAGGGAGGACGAGCAGCCCTTGTTCTCCAGTCCCCACCAAAAGGGAATGTCAGCTTCAGGCCATGGCGGGAAGATGGAAGGGAGACCCTCTCCCAGGGCAGGGCTGTCTGGCCAAGGCCGAGGGAAAGAGCTGGTAAGCGGGGTGTGTGTGTGTGTGTGTGTGTGTGTGTGTGTGTGTGTATTGCCCGTGGATCAACTAAGGCAGCCAGTTCGTAGCACAGGAGAAAGGCGGGCTTGGCTCTATGCCTGCTGTCCCTCCACCATCGCTGGCTTAGGGGTCGGACCACAGCCCCCTGCAAAGCCGGCTTCTCCAGGCCTGACCCTCACCTGACCCTGGGCTGCAGGGGGCACAGCCTAACCCTGGCACCATTTTGCTGCTGGACGGCTGCCACCTGAGCCCGCAGGAGGCGGTGAGGCCAGGCCCGTGAAGCTAGCTGCAGCGGCTGCTCTCACCTGGGTCCCTCCTTGGGAAGACTGAAGCAGCAGTCCAGGGCTTACTTGGGGATACGGGCAAGATGCCACGAAGCTGCGATGCCCCTGGCAGGGCTCCTTGGGCCAGGGCTGGACTCTCCGGGGAAGCTGCTGTGCACAGGAGCTCCGAAGCAGCCCGGGTCGTGCTCCTGGGCAGCCCATCGGTCACCCGGCCCAGATCCACATTTCACTTGGAAACAGACTCTAATGTTGTAACAGCAGAACATAAATAACACGGACCAGCAGAAAAGGGCCCTTTGTGGTGTGGAGGCACTTAAGGTGAGCAACGGGTCCCCACAGTGGAGCTCGGACGTATGGCGAGAGGGAGACGATGTCCATGCTAGGCTGTGTGGCCCCTCATCGAGCCAGCCGGGTAGTTTGTGGGGTGGCTGCAAGGACTCCCGCTGCATTCCAGTCACTCGGGGTCCCCCCAGCCGCCTTTCCTTGATCCTAACTGCAGACGGGCGCGTCCTTGGGGCAAAAGGCGTGTGGGTGAGGGCAGG